CTGCTGTACTACGTTTCCTTCCTTGTCTTATATCCTTTTCTGAAACTGCAGAATCAGAACTGCACATAATATTCCAGGTGCACACACTATTTATTCCCCAATAACTGCTTGCAATGTTTGTTTGATTGTTGAAAGCAGAGATGACACTTCACCTATCCAAGGAAACTCCTAGATTTTCCTCCTCAGCTACAACAGGAAAACTCAGACCTAACATAAGCTAGAACTATGCCTATGTTTGACTTTCAAACCATGACACTCATCAACTAATTGAAATTCCTTCAAACAGCTTTAAATGCAATTGTGTCAAAAATATTTGTAACAATAGCAAAAGGTAAGTGCCTTCAGTTTGACTAATATTACCATTATTTGCTTCTCTTTTTACTACACCTTTTCTGTATTCTTCTATACTGGAATGACTCTTCTCCACTGTTTTTTCATTCTTTTATCCCATTCTTTCTTTTTTCCTATATCATGTTTTACCTTTGCACTTCTTTTTTCTGCTGCTGTTCTCCCTTCTCTTTATCCGCTCTTTCTTCCTCTCTTGCTCTACATTGGAACTTGAAAGAAAATACCCTCAGCCAGCAGCTGAGATCTAAGTGTCTAGAAACAAAATCTAACTGCAGAAGACAAAACACTGCAGCTTCCAAACTTCCCAGAAGAGGTAGTTTACCGGATTTCACCACAGAATTTTCTTTAAACAGACCAGCTTGAAATATAAATTTAATCCTTTTTAGCTTCTCATTAAAAGGTATACAATCAGTCTGAACCTCTCCATCCTACAGTCCTCTCTGGTTGTGAGGATGCAAAGAAACAATCCTATCTTTTTTCCTCAAATCACTTTCTCTCCCGGTTGCTAGCAATCTGTATTAAGCCATCTTCTTCCCAGAACAGGATTGAGTATTCTTCTCTGCCAAATGAACACAGGCTCTTTTACCTACAATTTGAAACTCTCTCAAACAGCAGTGTGCAGGTCAGTGTTTTCTCACCTCCCTGTGTCCCACCGTTAGAGAGTTCATGTGAATAAGGACAATAAGCATAAAGAAGTCTTCATGAACTGGTGAATAATCTAGCTATTTTTCACATGAAACTGAACAGATTCTGAAGCTTGGGAAGTTACTGTAAGTAGCAAACTTACGGGAACATCTGGGAAGTCTTCTGATTACAGAAAAATACAAAAAAGTTAGAGAGTAGGGCTGAGTTCTCATGTGACTTTCCATCACCTTGGGAGTACTGATTTAAGGCAGCTCCAAACTTGATCACCACCATGCGATCCAACCAGGTTCAGAGATCTCACACTACTGTGGAAGCAAACTTCCAAGCCAGCCTGTGCTTGTTACCATTCAACCCTCCCGCTTCAGCAGTTCAAAGAGCAGTGATACTGAGAGGAATCTGACATTAAAGAAATTGTCAACTAATTGCCACTGAAACATCATTGAACTCAGAAGTGGCAGGGACAGACGATGTCCCATATAGTTTCAGAACCAATAATCTCAACCAGTAGAAAATACTTTTTCCCCCCCTGTTCATTCAAAGTCATCTTAGAGCCTCTTCATGACTTGGTTCTTCCAGTAACAGAAAAGCTTTTCGTATTTTTCACTGAAACATTTGTAATGGCCAAAACAGGAAGGAGGAATGTCGTGTTATTGCTAAAATCATATTAGCACTAATCAGCATTAATGCTTGTGTGGCCTGAACTTTTTTCCTCTAAATACACAACTAGAAATACGGAAAACTCACAGAAAATGGGGGCAATTGTGAAACACCTCAGAAGGAAGAGGGCCCAGAAAATCATCTGAATGAGCTCAATAAAGCGGAGAACTGTGTGAAAAGTGCACTTTTAAATTTAAAATAAACGTGAATTATAAATTTAAAATTAACACTAATTTTAAATTAGTATTATTGAGGGAGCAGTGCAGAAAGAGATCATGCAAGAACAGAAATAGAAAAATGGAAATGCTGGCAGAGTTGTATATCATGAGCTTGTTGTAGCAGAAAATAGGGAATCATTGGGAGTATTCCAGACTACGCTAAAAGTTAGAATAAGAGCTAGTGAACAGCATACTAGTTGCAGTATTCTGCATGAACTGGAGTAATCTACTACTAGGCTACACACTCAAGAGCAGTAAAGATGGATATTGAAAAAAAAAAAAAGACAAAAAACTTCTGCAATATAATGAGTCAAATAAATACTCTGTGTATTAACAAAATCATATGAGAAAACAGCAGCATGAGTGGTTTATTTTGGCATTACCTGAAAGTGGAAAGCATTATACAACTGATTAATATTATTGATTTTGTCTAGTATTTCTCGCTCCTCCTCACACTTTTGGGGAGAGTAACGCCAAATTCTTGTATTTTCAGCAGACCTCTGCTACTCAGTAAAGAAGCTAACTTTTCATTAACGAAATGTCTTTTGTTTGAGGTATGAAATGTTATGTTCATATCTGATAGAAACTACGGGAAATATAACCTCCTCAGTAAAAAATGTAATAGCACATCAAAGCAACAGGATACACTCGGAAGTCCCAGGTTCTATGAGCCTGCTGAAGCAATACCACACAATGATACTGTACACGAACATTCAGGAGCTGCCAAACTAACGGCAAGGAAAGAAACTGGCAAAAAAGGTACAAAACTGGGGATCCGCTGCATCATTCCAATCACATGTGCTTTTTTTGGTGGTAATCCACCATAATCTCCAAAAATAAACTCTGCTTAAAGACAAGTAATCCACCCCCTATTTGCGTGCATTTCTTTCTCCACAGAACCTTCACTCTCCTTCCTAAGGAAGGACAATACAAGGGGTGGGGGAAGGGGAGTGGGGAGAATGAGTTAGCCCAGGCTCTGCTCTATTCCAAAATACTTCCAGACCAAGCAGTCCGTTGCCCTTCCTGGAAAGCAGCTGCCTCCTTTTGTTACCCACTGCAGCTCAAGCAGCAGCCGTTTATGCTACTGAGGATACCAGGTTTTTGAGGAAGGGCTGTTACAAATACTCAAATGTGGATTGGGGTTTTTTTATGCATTTAAAAATTCCTTAGGAACACCACTTGAAAAAATAATTTTGTTGTCTTTGGAGTCACAGATGCAGAGAACTGAAAACACCATAGAACGGTATCACTACTTCAGTTAGTTATGCCTATTACATCTTTAATTACAGGACCGTATACCCTTCTCCTCCCCCTCCCCCCTTCTTACTGCAACAAATGGTAGCTTTTCCAGTGCTACTTTAATCATGGAAGAATGAATGGCAGGACAAAGTATATTGTTTTCTGAACTAAAAAAAAACCCAGAGCTGAAGCACATTTACATGATTACATTTGTTTGGGAATGTGACTTGATTAAAAAAACAGGAATAAATGGACACTAGGATTCCCAAAAGCTAAACAGAAAACATCTTTTCTTTAACTTGGCAAATCATGCTTCCATTAAATGCCTTCTTACTTTCATTCACAGATGAGGAGCAGAACCTCGTTTGACAATGACAGGCTGAGGAAGAAACAGTACACCTTTTGAATAAGACAGTTAAAAATACAGCTAAACTGAAGAATGGCGGGCACTACCAGGAAACAAAAAAATCAGCAAATTCTTACCTGTTATTTAATGTGGTTGGCAGAGGATGCGTTGCATTGGGTGGCACAGTTGCGTGAGTGAGAGGAGAAGGGTTCTGTGATATTGTTGCTGGGGTCTGAATTACCCCATTTAAAGCCCCTACAATTCCATTGATTGCCAGCTGGCTGGCTGGCAGTGCTCCAATTATTCCACCCACAGCAGGCACTGCAGGAATGGTGGAGGTTACAGTCTGCATACCACTAGCTAGTGCCCCCACTGTCACACCATTGACCTGTTGAACTCCCGTGACTCCTGAGCCTTGCTGAGCTGGACTCTGCCCAGCAGGTGGTGGAGTGGAAAGAGCTGATGAACTGCTGGTGCTTTGTCCGCTGGAGGTTATCTCCTGGTGTAAAAACAAACAACAAAACCCCCTCAGCTGCATAAAATTTCACCTAACAGCATAATGCAAGGGCTATGATGAGTTAACTTGTAACAAGTTTAAGTTTAGAAGAAACAAATAAAAATTACCTGATTTAATACAGGAAGAGAATTGTCTGGTAAAAAACTGTTTCCCAGATGAGGGCTTTTACTGCTGTTCAACGAATCAGTGCTAGGTGCTAAAGTAATTATCGCAAAAAACACAGAGTGGTTAAATTTCTGTAACATGTAAAAAGATTCAGAATAATTATTTCAAAATAATGTCAAAAGGTAAACATAGAAAATGTAAAGTCAACCTTAAAATCATTGAATAGTAAAATACTAACTAAAGAACTGGTGAATCCATAGATTCAAAAAGATGTGCTCAAGATTGAAGTAAAAAAGAAACTGCACTGAAACAAGTAGTAATGGTGCATATAAATCATCCAATTGACTTTTTAACATTTAAACACACCAACAAATACTTAGTCTGTGTTCATCCTACACGTATATGCATCTCCCACCAATGGCATACGTGGATGAAATAGGTATTTCATATAAACACACATGTTCAAATTACTTTGACACTTTAATACTCTCCACTACTTACCTGCTTGTACTGGAAAGGCATGTACTTGATGAGAAGGGCTAGGATTGGAAGTTATTGTTGGAAAGGGCACCGAGAGCTGTGCATTGAGTAGCTGAAGCCGCTCCTTCTTAGCGGTCAGATTCTTTATCTGCTCTTCTAAGCGCCTATTTTCAACCTGAAGTTGGTGTAATGATTTAAGCATTCCTAAAACTAAGGTAAAAATGCACGTTATCTTTCACAACCACAGTCAAAGAATAATCTTCATTTTTTGTAATTTCTGTATTACAATTTAAGACTAGCATTAAGTCATATGTGAAAATATAAATAGAATTATTACTGAGAGATAGATTACAGAAATTTACTTGAAGTGGAAAGGTTTAGAATCAATTTTGTGTAATTTAAAGTGCAGAAAAAAGTAGGTAGTGTGTGACAGTAATTTTGCAATATATCTACACCCTGGCTTAAATACAGATAAAGTTGCATCATTAGGGCTGACGTTCCTTTTAAGCAAACAGCAGTACATGATAACTTATCCCCAAAACAGAATATACAAATAGTATTATTTTAGTAGCACAGGTTAATTGCATAGTTGGGAAAAAATCCGTTTCAGCTGCAGCATTAGAAACTTTAAACATTATCAAAACAGGAGTTTGACAAATATGCACTCAACTACCACCACAGCCAACCAACAACATTTATGTAAAAACAAGCAAGCTTGTGAAAAGGGAGTTTTTCTACTTTAATGCCCTCAACAGTGAATCAGAAACGTACAGAAACAATGAAAAAAAAAGTCATCCAAGGTGAAGTTATCACGACACACCTTACGAGCAGGAGCTCGCATTTGCTTTGAGCAGCGATCTACAAATCACCCAGCAGGGAGCACTGTGTGAGCACTGCAGTTACCACCCCTTTTTTGCAGAAAAAGGGCATCATCTTCTGTACTAACCTGATTTTTTACCAAGCACGGTTTTTTCAAACTCCGATTTGGTTTCAGAACTTGGATTTCCCAACTAGTACTACAGTGTGATTGTAAAGCCACAGGGATAGCCATTTTTTTAAAAAATTCTAAATTGTATTTGTTTAACATGACCTCTGGGCCTACTACAGACATAAGTCTACTGGTATAGGCACATCTGGTCATTTCCCAAGGATTTAGCTTTTATCCCTCCTCTTCAACAACATACAAAGGAACCCTCAGTGAGCCCAAATGAGATGCAATAAGACTTAGCTAAACCTGTCCTCCAGCTATCATGTTTAAAGGATTATCCCTGCATGAATTTCCTCACAATTAGCATTTTTGTCAGGATACCATTCATAAAAATACCAGCTAGATACCACTTTACACTACCAACAAGAAGAAGAATATGTTCACTAAAATATAATGCAAACCTTAACCCGGTATTAAAAAAAAGAAAAAAAATTACACTTATTTAATAATTGGTTTTGATACTGACATATTGTTGAATATGGAGATCCAAGTGATCTGCTCATTGCTTATGCTTTTAACGTATTCATTCTTGGACTATTCCACTCTATTAAACATAACTTGAGAAAATATGATTTGCTTGCTTTGAGAATTTCAGGAGAAATGCTGAACATAATAAAGATATGAAAGCCCAGTAGGACACCTGACTAACATTTGTAAATATTTTTTTAAAAACATCAACAGAAGTAGACAGTTTAGAATTAAAAAATGAAAAATATAACAATATTATTATGCCAATTTATATCACAGAATATAAAACAAACGGGAAACTGTGCTATACTATTTACAGTAGTATTTACAGTCCAGAATTCATTTCCAAACTCTGCAACGGACCAGCTGGATCTGCAAGTCACTTCCTCTTGCATGACACCATTTCCCCATCCATAGAAATGTGGATAATTATAGAGAACTCTTTTGTAATCTACTGAAGCCATGTGCTGCAGTAAGAACTATGTTAGAATCACACACCAAAAGCCATGTGCTGCATTAAGAACTATGTTAGAATCACATACTACAGATATATTTGTATTCACAGTAGAAAATAAGGTTTTTTTTAAATTCGTGGACAACCACTAAATGGCAGTTCTGAATAAGACAGTTAACAAAAGCAGTAATAAACAGAATGTGAGTACTTACTGTCACTAGGGGTGCCTTGCTCTAATAAAAACTGCTGTCCTTCACTCCATTGCCTCTCCAGAAGCTGTTCTATGCTGGCTGCTACTGGGGGCAAATTTTCCCCACAACTGTTCCCTGTTTGATCATAGCGAATCTGCAAGCTGCTTACAGGGGATCTGTTGAAAATATTGCAATTTATTGTTTAAAGAAAAGGATGGAAGGAAACATTTCAGTAAAAGGCTGTTGAAGTTTCTTACCTTATATCACCCCTTAACATCTACATATCTTACACTTCTAAGACTAAGTTAATTCATCAAAATCACTAAGAATTCCTAGTTCTCACTGCCAAGACTTTAATAAAAGAAAGATGTAATATTTCATAGCGTGAGGATTTATACTGAGAAAGCACATAACCTCTTCATGCATACAGACTAACATAATACCTGACTGACAAACAGTATTGTATTAAATTATACAACACATACTTCTACAGCAGGAAACCATTGTACATGGATACATAGAACACTTGTCTTTAAAAAAGAAAAAAAAAGAAAAGAAAAGAAATAAAAATCTCCAAACCTTTCTCTTCCCAGAGAAAACATGTATTACAATCAGCACAGTAATGGTACTTCCACATAGATAAGCCATCTATAATTCCACTGCCTAACTTGTTCTAAAAAGAATCATGTAAAACCAGATTTTTGAGGGACTATGTCAAAATATTATTTCACAAGAGACACAATGAAAGTTAAAGTTATCCTCTGCCTGTCCTGTGCACACTTAATATACTTCCTTTTTTTACTCATGATCACACTTAATTGAAAGAATAATCCCTTTGCCACATGTCTTTTCTCATTCAGGAGAAAATTAAATGGGGGGGTGGGGGGTGGTGTTAAATCAACTCCAGCGAGCTCAGCTTCAGATTCTTATATATTTGTTATTACTGTAAGTAATAACTATTCATGCCATCACAGGATCACAGCCATACTATTCTACACGTAGTGCAAGCTTACTAACAAGACCACCATAGTCCCAGTACAGGACAACACATAGGGCTCAGGAAATCAGTGTGTTAATTATGATTAGCGTAATAAGCAGTGGTCACAGCACATTAGCTACCTAATGACTGTCAAGCATTTTGTAGGCACCAGAGCAAAGCAATTTTTACGAGAAAAGGTTTTAAGTAGGTGACTTAAGAGCTCTGTAAGTATTTATAAATAATTCCTCTTTTGCATACAGGATGAAAGAAGAAAAACACTTGTTAAAACAAAAAGCCCTCATGAATGGGTAACCAAGGTAGTGGCTTTTTGACAAGAGATGAAAACTCAACAGCATTTAACAGTTCAGCACAGACATGGCAAAAACAGCCTTAAAACTAGTTGTTTACACGATGTGCTGAAGTGATAAGAAGGAAGGTTTACGCAGAAATGTTCTGAACAGATGTACTACACACAAAAAATGCACTTTAAAAAAACCCAAAAAACCCCAAATAAAACAAAACAAAAAATCCCAAACAAAAAAACCCAACCAGAACCAGAAAACAAATACAGAAAACCACCACACAACTCCCCCCCAGCAACTTCTTTCTCTATATGCATGCTTTTGAAGGGCGCATAACACTACTCTAACAGATTGCAGCATTTGAATTATAAATCACCACCAAAATTCTTGTTGGGCTTAGGACTGTTTCCTGTCAATTCCACAAAGGTAGACACAAAGCAACACAGGACTGTATAACCTCTGCAATCCTTCACTGGAAGCCTGTGCAGAAGGACACACCAAAAAAAAAAAAACCAAACCCAACCTAGATTTCTCTGTATTGCAACCTGAGTCAATCCATCCTCTTCCAGCTGAACCCCTACCTCCTCCATAAGACATGGTACGGTTCCTGCATACTAGGGTTGAACCTTATTCCAAACAGTACTTGATAACAGTTTCCAATAGGATTATAAATGTGCTGTATGCGCAGGTCCAATGCTGTCACTGGGATGGGAATCCCTTGTTTCATGTATCATACCTTGCTTACTTTTACAACTGTTTTTTGTTTAAATTTGTAGTACAGTTATTCATACTCTTATAGTATTAATTGTAAGCCATACTGCATTTAGATATAGGCACACAAAGATATTTCAATGCAGGTATTACACAACACATTTTTAAATCTAAGATTAAGTATGGGGTAAAAAAAAGTTTAAGTGCTACCTTGGGAAAAGCAGCAATTCCTTTGCAAAATGGAAACAGCTCACATGTACCAGGTATATTTATATTTCTCATATATATTAAAATTTTAAATATGACAGCTTAAACTGTGGTTATATAGGGGTACAAAGATATAACAATATGAATTTGAAATGACCATACAGCTCATGAGTCACGTACATCTTCTCCAAAGAGCTGCAATCAGCTGCGTCATCGACAGTAAACAATTGTTTCTGCAAGTGTTTTTATTTTAAACAACTACTTGGAAATTACATGGTACTTTTGGAGAAGTGTGTTATTTATGAATCTCATGAGCTTCAAAGGGAAGAGAATCAGAACTTGCAGAAAAATAATTTTAATAGATAAAGCAGGTAACATTCAGAATTGCAAAGTTTTCAGATAGCATATTTTTGAAGTTAGCTTTTTATTCACTACAAATCGTATTCTAAGTAATCAGAGTTACTTATTTAACTGGGGACAGTGGGGAATTACCTACACATTTTAGAAACATCAACATACATATGATCTCTTATTGCACAAACCAGGAGTGAAAATTGCTGACTACTGATCTTAATAGAACAGGTAGTTTTCTAAATTTCTTCCATGCTAGGTATTTCAGACTAAGTTTTTCCACCTTTCAATTTTGGAAATACAGCAGTGATTTCTCCCCTCCTCTCCCCTCTCCCCTCCCCCCTCTCCCTTTTTTTGGCTTGTTTTTGAACAACTCTAGTGCCAAGCAAAAGCTATCTGCTCTTTGCAAAGTGATGCAGCTCCTAAATGCTGAAGGAAGCTCTGCGATTGTGGACTGAGGTGGTCTTTACAATTCTCCTTTGCCATCCCTATCAAAACCAACTGAAATTTGACCGTGTTGTAAACACTAGGCTATACATATCCTGAACATACACTCCGTAGAAGCACTGTATTTAAGAAGTTTAACTTCCCAAACATTCTACCTAAAGACAGCCTGAACACAGCTATGGCCTACTGCAAATCATACAAAGACCAGGCCTTTGCATATTAATTAAGGCGGCATTAAAATTTGCAATTACCACAACACATATGCATAAGAAAAATACTTAATATATAATCAAAAGTTCTGGAATTTCCTAATTGTTGAACATTTCCTTTTGCAAAATTCTCTTAACTTACTTGTCTGTATATATACAGACATATTCCCTATTTATATAAAGATTTATATGCTAACATAAATATATGTATTTATACTGATAACACAGTCTAAACTAATTTATAAATTCTCTATTTATTGTTTTAGAAGCAACATCTATCGGAAAGCTTACAAGCCCGTTCATGACTAGGTAAAACCACCTAAGTATTTTGATGGATATTCTCACCCCATTCGACAAGAAGTCTTTTGATTAATTAGGGAATATAATACAAGATCAACAACACCAGGCATGTACATTAAATTACCTAATTTGGAGGTATTTATTATAAATTACTGCAATAAACACATGCAGCAACAATCAAATTCATTGTTACAATGCCATATCTGTGTAACTATCATTTTTTAGCTATCCTAAAATCCTTTAAGATAAAGGTTAGTCCCCAAGTAAAAAAATTACACCAATAACACTATAAAATCTAATTCATATGGGATCTACTATGCAAAATAAAGCCCTTTAAAAACAAAGATTCACTTAAAATACACGGAAAATATTACTTAAGTATTTGAAACATAATGTTGAAATTTTAACAGCAAGTATTTTAAAACAAAATAATGTGTTACAATTCCAGCAGAATTCTTATGTCAAACTTCTCTAGTGGAGGTGAATTGCAGCAGAACAAAAAAAGTATTTTTTCCATAGAGAATTGTTGCATATTTTGAAGTGGTGAGGGAAAGGGAAGAAAAAATATATTTGAAATTTTTACGGATATTTGACTTCTCAAACCATCTTATTCCTGTGATGATTGTATACTTTAAGTCTATGGGATTTTGGAATTTTTGCGAATATGACTAAAAATATGAGTATGGTAACAAATCTGAGGAGATAAGTAGTACATGTGGATTAAATAGATAAACCCCTCTAAAGCAAGTCTCAATTTCTTAAGTAAAGTTCTTCATTTGTAAATCTAATTTCAGTTGATATAAAAGTAATTTTCAGCACATTTTTAGCTATCTGCACATTTATTTTTTTTAAGATGGATATATCTGTATAAATATAAAAGTATGCATACGTGTGTGTGTGTGTATACATATATAGGCTTTTAAAACACTTATGTATTACTACTAAAAAGACAGTGAAGTTTCCAAATCTTAAAACATTTCCTCCGCTTGCACTCTCCAATGTAAATAATGCTTACCGTGGTGAGAGACTTCCTCTGGGTGAACCTCCTCTGCCAACAAGGCTGCGGCTATTATCTCCGAGATCTTGATCTGCAGTGTAAATATTTCACAGCTGATAAATCGACTCTTCTTAGATAAGAGTTTTAAAGCTGATGTATATATTTTAAAAATACCTTAAATCACAACTTCTATCTGTAGGTACTCCTGAAGAGTGAATAAGTAACTAGTTTAAGATTGCTGAACTGTAGCATGTAAGGTGTTGTCCTTACACATTTCTGAGGCTGTACCAGGCCATGGATTATGTTCCCTTCTTTCATTCCTTTCAGTTTTACAGCACAGAAGCGTGGTTTGCATTTGCAGTACCCTCCCCTCAGCCACTTTTAATTTCTACGGTGAAAGTAATGAATCACAGCTGTGGACAGCTAATCTGTATGCTTATCACAGCAAATCCTGATGCTCTGTATTTTTTTAACACTTTGCATCCCAAAACAACTCATAAAATACAGAACGGATTAAACTTACTGCTGCCATCTAACAAGCGCACGTTATTCTGAAAATTTACTGAAAACTTTATGAAAGCATATAATTCACTAATTCCTATTTATAAGCAGAAGCATAGGAAAGTCCCTTGCTAAAAAGGTAGTAAAACAAACAAAAAAGGCCTCATTAAATATACGAAAACGTTTTGCTTGGAAGGACTCAAAAGGGTTATTTTCCCTATGGCCTCTCAATAAAATAACCCTATCTGCCCCCTTCAAGGTTGCCCTCCCCCTATTCTGAGTCAAGCGACCTCCGACCTCTTGGAGGGCAAAGACATGACTGATCCATTCTTGGTAAACTGCTAAACTCATTCCCTTCCCCCAAACAGGCATGACTACTACGACATGTCAACAAATCCTTACGGAGGGAATGAAACAAAGCAAAGCCAGCGCTCATTAAAACTCTAGAGGAGAGCCAACAGTACAAAATGCCGATCGGTAAATATTCACAGGATTATTAAATGCTGCAGAAGTTCTCTAACGGGATCTCTTTCACACGAAGTTGTATGTAATGCAATTTCATGAATTATGCAAATAAAGGTTTAAACTATTCACGACAAAACCCAGAGCTGTGTTACTCTCCTTGCAAAGAGCTCCGAACTGAACACATCAATCACAGAAGTCACA